CTTCATCATTATGGGGTATTGTGTGTAGATTGATGAGGGGGGAAAAAAACAATTTAATCCATTTTAAATAAGGCTGTAACATAACAAAATGTGTAAAAGGTCAAGGAGGTAAAAAATTATGTATGCACTCACTAACTGTAAGTGGCTCTGGATAAGAGCGTCTGCTAAATGACTAACAGGTAAAACAATGCTGTTATTGAGGAACTACACCACTCCTGTGTTTCTACACCAGAACCAACCTCAGGAAGGTGCTTCCACCACCTGGTCAGAATTGGTATTGCTGTTCAGTTACAGACCTCTCTAGAAACCTCACATCTTTACCCAGTAGGACCAAGTGGTTGACTTACTTGACTAAAGGCCTTGGCTCCTATTAGGATCATAGGCCGTTGACAAATGTCCTCCATCTCACTCGGTTCGGGGCAAGTTTCTCCAGGTAACAGCAGTTGTGGATGCTCTCTGTCATCTCTGCCTTGATGTCTCTCCTCCAAGTGATTCTGGGTCTCCCTCTGTTTCTTCTCCTCTTGGGGGTTGTATTTCAGGGACCGGTGAGTCATCTTGGTGGTCAGTTTCTGAAGGGTGTGGTCCATTTCAGGGACCGGTGAGTCATCTTGGTGGTCAGTTTCTGAAGGGTGTGGTCCATTTCAGGGACCGGTGAGTCATCTTGGTGGTCAGTTTCTGAAAGGTGTGGTCCATTTCAGGGACCGGTGAGTCATCTTGGTGGTCAGTTTCTGAAGGGTGTGGTCCATTTCAGGGACCGGTGAGTCATCTTGGTGGTCAGTTTCTGAAGGGTGTGGTCCATTTCAGGGACCGGTGAGTCATCTTGGTGGTCAGTTTCTGAAGGGTGTGGTCCATTTCAGGGACCGGTGAGTCATCTTGGTGGTCAGTTTCTGAAGGGTGTGGTCCATTTCAGGGACCGGTGAGTCATCTTGGTGGTCAGTTTCTGAAGGGTGTGGTCCATTTCAGGGACCGGTGAGTCATCTTGGTGGTCAGTTTCTGAAGGGTGTGGTCCATTTCAGGGACCGGTGAGTCATCTTGGTGGTCAGTTTCTGAAAGGTGTGGTCCATTTCAGGGACCGGTGAGTCATCTTGGTGGTCAGTTTCTGAAGGGTGTGGTCCATTTCAGGGACCGGTGAGTCATCTTGGTGGTCAGTTTCTGAAGGGTGTGGTCCATTTCAGGGACCGGTGAGTCATCTTGGTGGTCAGTTTCTGAAGGGTGTGGTCCATTTCAGGGACCGGTGAGTCATCTTGGTGGTCAGTTTCTGAAGGGTGTGGTCCATTTCAGGGACCGGTGAGTCATCTTGGTGGTCAGTTTCTGAAGGGTGTGGTCCATTTCAGGGACCGGTGAGTCATCTTGGTGGTCAGTTTCTGAAGGGTGTGGTCCATTTCAGGGACCGGTGAGTCATTTTGGTGGTCAGTTTCTGAAGGGTGTGGTCCATTTCAGGGACCGGTGAGTCATCTTGGTGGTCAGTTTCTGAAGGGTGTGGTCCATTTCAGGGACCGGTGAGTCATCTTGGTGGTCAGTTTCTGAAAGGTGTGGTCCATTTCAGGGACCGGTGAGTCATCTTGGTGGTCAGTTTCTGAAGGGTGTGGTCCATTTCAGGGACCGGTGAGTCATCTTGGTGGTCAGTTTCTGAAGGGTGTGGTCCATTTCAGGGACCGGTGAGTCATCTTGGTGGTCAGTTTCTGAAAGGTGTGGTCCATTTCAGGGACCGGTGAGTCATCTTGGTGGTCAGTTTCTGAAGGGTGTGGTCCATTTCAGGGACCGGTGAGTCATCTTGGTGGTCAGTTTCTGAAGGGTGTGGTCCATTTCAGGGACCGGTGAGTCATCTTGGTGGTCAGTTTCTGAAGGGTGTGGTCCATTTCAGGGACCGGTGAGTCATCTTGGTGGTCAGTTTCTGAAGGGTGTGGTCCATTTCAGGGAGCGGTGAGTCATCTTGGTGGTCAGTTTCTGAAGGGTTTGGTCCATTTCAGGGACCGGTGAGTCATCTTGGTGGTCAGTTTCTGAAGGGTGTGGTCCATTTCAGGGACCGGTGAGTCATCTTGGTGGTCAGTTTCTGAAAGGTGTGGTCCATTTCAGGGACCGGTGAGTCTTCTTGGTGGTCAGTTTCTGAAGGGTGTGGTCCATTTCAGGGACCGGTGAGTCATCTTGGTGGTCAGTTTCTGAAGGGTGTGGTCCATTTCAGGGACCGGTGAGTCATCTTGGTGGTCAGTTTCTGAAAGGTGTGGTCCATTTCAGGGACCGGTGAGTCATCTTGGTGGTCAGTTTCTGAAGGGTGTGGTCCATTTCAGGGACCGGTGAGTCATCTTGGTGGTCAGTTTCTGAAGGGTGTGGTCCATTTCAGGGACCGGTGAGTCATCTTGGTGGTCAGTTTCTGAAGGGTGTGTCTTAATTATCCAACTCTACTTTCTTCTTTTGATGTGTAGTTTGATGGGCTCCTGTCCTGATGTAGGGGTTAAAGGTGTCTGATGGGTTCCTGTCCTGATGTAGGGGTTAAAGGTGTTTGATGGGTTCCTGTCCTGATGTAGGGGTTAAAGGTGTTTGATGGGTTCCTGTCCTGATGTAGGGGTTAAAGGTGTCTGATGGGTTCCTGTCCTGATGTAGGGGTTAAAGGTGTTTGATGGGTTCCTGTCCTGATGTAGGGGTTAAAGGTGTTTGATGGGTTCCTGTCCTGATGTAGGGGTTAAAGGTGTCTGATGGGTTCCTGTCCTGATGTAGGGGTTAAAGGTGTTTGATGGGTTCCTGTCCTGATGTAGGGGTTAAAGGTGTTTGATGGGTTCCTGTCCTGATGTAGGGGTTAAAGGTGTTTGATGGGTTCCTGTCCTGATGTAGGGCTTAAAGGTGTTTGATGGGTTCCTGTCCTGATGTAGGGGTTAAAGGTGTTTGATGGGTTCCTGTCCTGATGTAGGGGTTAAAGGTGTCTGATGGGTTCCTGTCCTGATGTAGGGGTTAAAGGTGTTTGATGGGTTCCTGTCCTGATGTAGGGGTTAAAGGTGTTTGATGGGTTCCTGTCCTGATGTAGGGGTTAAAGGTGTTTGATGGGTTCCTGTCCTGATGTAGGGGTTAAAGGTGTTTGATGGGTTCCTGTCCTGATGTAGGGGTTAAAGGTGTTTGATGGGTTCCTGTCCTGATGTAGGGGTTAAAGGTGTTTGATGGGTTCCTGTCCTGATGTAGGGGTTAAAGGTGTTTGATGGGTTCCTGTCCTGATGTAGGGGTTAAAGGTGGCTAAATGCTGACGCTGCCGGGACAGATGCTAATGGTAAATTTCACAGTAACAATGATGCTGCCGCTCAGATTTTTCACTAAAAAATACATGTCAAACAAAACCCAATGATTGAAAAGTTTAACAAACCATACAACTATATGCACAAGGACTACCTTTAACAATTTCCACTGAACATTTTACAAAAAGTACATTTACTTGAAGAAGAGTGCAGATGCAAAGTTTGGTTACAGAATGCCAGGTTGTGCTGTTGGTGCTGTCATTCTGTTCCAATGCTAATTTGTCAGGACACAGTGAGGAAACAGGAGAATGGAAACATCCACTGGAGACGGTAGTCATTAAGGCACTTTAATGGTAACGAGCATCATCACCACCTGAGACAGACAGAGACAGACAGGAGCTGTCACTCAGACATCACATAACCCTCCATACCCTAACCCCAACCCTCAGTAACAGACCCTCTCCTTTCTCTAACCCCAACCCTCAGTAACAGACCCTCTCCTTTCCCTAACCCCAACCCTCAGTAACAGACCCTCTCCTTTCCCTAACCCCAACCCTCAGTAACAGACCCTCTCCTTTCTCTAACCCCAACCCTTGTCTAAATAAGATCTGGTGCAACCAATTACCTTCAGAAGTCACATAATTAGTTAAATAAAGTCCACCTGTGTGCAATCTAAGTGTCACATGATCTGTCACATGATCTCAGTATATATACACCTGTTCTGAAAGGCCCCAGAGTCTGCAACACCACTAAGCAAGGGGCACCACCAAGCAAGCGACAACATGAAAACCAAGGAGCTCTCCAAACAGGTCAAGGACAAAGTTGTGGAGAAGTACAGATCAGGGTTGGGTTATAAAAAAAATCAGAAACTTTGAACATCCCACGGAGCACCATTAAATCCATTATTAAAAAATGTAAAGAATATGGCACTACAACAAACCTGCCAAGAGAGGGCCGCCCACCAAAACTCACGGACCAGGCAAGGAGGGTATTAATCAGAGAGGCAACAAAGAGACCAAATATAACCCTGAAGGAGCTGCAAAGCTCTACAGCGGAGATTGGAGTATCTGTCCATAGGACCACATTAAGCCGTACACTCCACAGAGCTGGGCTTTACGGAAGAGTGGCCAGAAAAAAGCCATTGCTTAAAGAAAAAAACTAAGCAAACACGTTTGGTGTTTATTTCCCTTGGCATTCATTTATGCATATGTCACCTTGTGTCTAAGAACCAAGTTCAGGAAGCAGAAGAGACAATAAGATTGTGATGATAAAAGAACTCAGTACGTCACTTAGTTGAGATTTATTGAAAACCTTCCTTATAAATGTGAAAGTCACCGAAGCCTACACTTTGAATAAATAACCTTTCCTTCCAACATGGGATGTCGCCCTGACAGCACTGAGTTCACTTCCCACAGACTCACAGAGCATCACTGTGTGATAATGAAGTGATGAGGTGTGTTTACATGAGTCAGTCTCTCTGTTGACCACTAGATGGGGCTACAGCAGAAGCAGCCGGTATCCAGCTCTGTGTACTAGCTACAGTAAAGCATGTTTGGAACAAAGTGTCTTTGTGTCCGTTTCACACCTTACTGTGTCTTAAGAATGCAACATGACTGTCACCTGATGAGAGGGGAAATATTCACAGGGTTGTATTTCCTCCTATGGAACTGAGTCTGACTAATGATAAATATGACTTAGGGAACGGCACCATGGCCAAGCCTTTCACCTGTATTGTTATTCTAGATAATAAACTTCTGGAGTTTCCACCTGCGGCTCAGGCCTCCTGGCAGGACAGTATATAAGAGATCACACAGGTTGAGGACTCCATATCACTTCTACTACGGCAGTTTCATTCTGACCTACAGAGCCTCGGCTGTGACCACCATCCACACATCAGACCACCGTCCAGACAGACGGAGACCTCTGAGACTCCGGCAGAAGCAGACAGAGGTATGGAGGACAGCAAATAATTATTTAAGGCTTTGGTATGCTTTTATGTGATTTAACCTCTCTCTCTCTCTCTCTCTCTCTCTCTCTCTCTCTCTCTCTCTCTCTCTCTCTCTCTCTCTCTCTCTCTCTCTCTCTCTCTCTCCCCCCACCTCTCTCTCTCTATCTTGCTCTCTGCAGCCTTTACAGCAGCAGGGTTTTGGACAGATCACACAAGGGGACAGTGGTTCTTCAAGTCTGACTCACTTCAGGTAAGATACTCTTTTCATTCAGTATTTAATTTCAATATGTTTCAGAGAAACATCAATAAGTATTTGTTTTAATTTGACCCCCCCTTTTTTTTTTACACTCACTGTTTATTATCTATAGTCACTTAGTCACATAGTCACTTTACCCCTACCTCCAGTTGAAGTCTGAAGTTTACATACACCTTAGCCAAATACATTTAAACTCAAAACAATTCCTGACATTTAATCCTAGTAAAAATTCCCTGTCTTAGGTCAGTTAGGATCACCACTTTATTTTAAGAATGTGAAATGTCAGAATAATAGTAGAGAGAATGATTTATTTCAGCTTTTTTTTATTTCATCACATTCCCAGTGGGTCAGAAGTTTACATACACTCAATTAGTATTTGGTAGCATTGCCTTTAAATTGTTTAACTTGGGTCAAACGTTTCTGGTAGCCTTCCACAAGCTTCCCACAATCAGTTGGGTGAATTCTGGCCCATTCCTCCTGACAGAGCTGGTGTAACTGAGTCAGGTTTGTAGGTCTCCCGAGTGGCGCAGTGGTCTAAGGCACTGCATCGCAGTGCTAGCTGTGCCACTAGAGATCCTGGTTCGAATCCATTCTCTGTCGTAGCCGGCCGTGACCGGGAGACCCATGGGGCGGCGCACAATTGGCCCAGCGTCGTCCAGGGTAGGGGAGGGAATGGCTGGCAGGGATGTTGGTAGAGCATGGTGGGGGGCCAGTATGAAAAATAAATACAAATATGTATGTACTCACTAACTGTAAGTCGCTCTGGATAAGAGCGTCTGCTAAATGACTAACATGTAAATGTAAAAAAATGTAGGCCTCCTTATTCACACACGCTTTTTCAGTTCTGCCCACAAATGTTCTATAGGATTGAGGTCAGGGATTTGTGATGGCCACTCCAATACCTTGACTTTGTTGTCCTTAAGCCATTTTGCCACAACTTTGGAAGTAAGCTTGGGGTCATTGTCCATTTGGAAGACCCATTTGCGACCAAGCTTTAACTTCCTGACTGATGTCTTGAGATGTTGCTTCAATATATCCACATAATTTTCCTTCCTCATGATGCCATGTATTTTGTGAAGTGAACCAGTCCCTCCTGCAGCAAAGCACCCCCACAGCATGATGCTGCCGCCCCCGTGCTTCACGGTTAGGATGGTGTTCTTCGGCTTGCAAGCTACCCCCTTTTTCCTCCAAACATAACAATGGTCATTATGGACAAACAGTTCTATTTTTGTTTGATCAGACCAGAGGACATTTCTCCAAAAAGTACAATCTTTGTCCCCATGTGCAGTTGCAAACCGTAGTCTGGCTTTTTTATGGTGGTTTTGGAGCAGTGGCTTCTTCCTTGCTGAGCGGCCTTTCAGGTTATGTCGATATAGGACTCGTTTTACTGTGGATGTAGATACTTTTGTACTTGTTTCCTCCAGCATCTTCACAAGGTCCTTTGCTGTTGTTCTAGGATTGATTTGCACTTTTCGCACCAAAGTACATTCATCTCTAGGAGACAGAACGCGTCTCCTTCCTGAGTGGTATGACGGCTGCGTGGTCCCATGGTGTTTATACTTGCGTACTATTGTTTGTACAGATGAACGTGGTACCTTCAGGCGTTTGGAAATTAATCCCAAGGATGAACTAGAATTGTGGAGGTCTACAATGTTTTTTCTGAGGTCTTAGCTGATTTATTTTGATTTTCCCATGATGTCAAGCAAAGAGGCACTGAGTTTGAAGGTAGGCCTTGAAATACATCCACAGGTACACCTCCAATTGACTGAAATGATGCCAATTAGCCTATCAGAAGCTTCTAAAGCCATGACATCATTTTCTGGAATTTTCCAAGCTGTTTAAAGGCACAGTCAACTAAGTGTATGTAAACTTCTGACCCACTGGAATTGTGATACAGTGAATTATAAGTGAAATAATCTGTCTGTAAACAATTGTTGAAAAAATTACTTGTGTCATGCACAAAGTAGATGTCCTAACCGACTTGCCAAAACTATAGTTTGTTAACAAGAAATTTGTGGAGTGGTTGAAAAACAAGTATTAATGACTCCAACCTAAGAGTATGTAAACTTCCGACTTCAACTGTACAAATTACCTCTACTAACCTGTACCCCACCACAGTGATATATTTTTTACTTTATTTTCTTTAGTAAATATTTGTCTATTTTCTTAAAACTGCATTGTTGGTTAAGGGCTTGTCAGTAAGCATTTCACGGTAAGGTCTACACATGTTGTATTTGTTGCATGTGACAAATAAAAATTGTATTTGTTTCTCATAAATATGAACATGTTAAAAGATATTTAGTCAGGTTGTTTAACTTGTTTAACTGTGGTGAGGAGGTAATTCCAGCTTATGATGACTGCAGTAATAACTTATGATGACTGCAGTAACCTTCCTTGACAAGCACTGGATCCTGGGCACACACACACACACACACACACACACACACACACACACACACACACACACACACACACACACACACACACACACACACACACACACACACACACACACACACACACACACACACACACACACACACACACACACACACACACACACACACACACACATACATACACACACACACACACACACACACACACACACAGACACACACACACACACACACACACACACACACACACACACACACACACACACACACACACACACACAAACACATTTTTTTGGGGGGGGGTAGAAGGATTACTTTATCCTATCCCAGGTATTCCTTAAAGAGGTGGGGTTTCAAATGTCTCCGGAAGGTGGTGAGTGACTCCGCTGTCCTGGCGTCGTGAGGGAGCTTGTTCCACCATTGGGGTGCCAGAGCAGCGAACAGTTTTGACTGGGCTGAGCGGGAACTATGCTTCAGCAGAGGAAGGGGAGCCAGCAGGCCAGAGGTGGATGAACGCAATGCCCTCGTTTGGGTGTAGGGACTGATCAGAGCCTGAAGGTACGGAGGTGCCGTTCCCCTCACAGCTCCATAGGCAAGCACCATGGTCTTGTAACAGATGCGAGCTTCAACTGGAAGCCAGTAGAGTGTGCGGTGGAGCGGGGTGACGTGAGAGAACTTGGGAAGGTTGAACACCAGACGGGCTGCGGCATTCTGGATGAGTTGTAGGGGTTTAATGGCACAGGCAGGGAGCCCAGCCAACAGCGAGTTGCAGTAATCCAGACGGGAGATGACAAGTGCCTGGATTAGGACCTGTGCCGCTTCCTGTGTAAGGCAGGGTCGTACTCTCCGAATGTTGTAGAGCATGAACCTGCAGGATCGGGTCACCGCCTTGATGTTAGCGGAGAACGACAGGGTGTTGTCCAGGGTCACGCCAAGGCTCTTCGCACTCTGGGAGGAGGACACAACGGAGTTGTCAACCGTGATGGTGAGATCATGGAACGGGCAGTCCTTCCCCGGGAGGAAGAGCAGCTCCGTCTTGCCATGGTTCAGCTTGAGGTGGTGATCCGTCATCCATACTGATATGTCTGCCAGACATGCAGAGATGCGATTCGCCACCTGGTTATCAGAAGGGGGAAAGGAGAAGATTAGTTGTGTATCGTCAGCGTAGCAATGATAGGAGAGGCCATGTGAGGATATGACAGAGCCAAGTGACTTGGTGTATAGGGAGAATAGAAGAGGGCCTAGAACTGAGCCCTGGGGGACACCAGTGGTGAGAGCACGTGGTGCGGAGACAGCTTCTCGCCACGCCACTTGGTAGGAGCGACCGGTCAGGTAGGACACAATCCAGGAGTGAGCCGCGCCGGAGATGCCCAGCTCGGAGAGGGTGGAGAGGAGGATCTGATGGTTCACAGTATCAAAGGCAGCAGACAGGTCTAGAAGGACAAGAGCAGAGGAGAGAGAGTTAGCTTTAGCAGTTCGGAGAGCCTCCGTGACACAGAGAAGAGCAGTCTCAGTTGAATGACCAGTCCTGAAACCTGACTGGTTTGGATCAAGAAGGTCATTCTGAGAGAGATAGCAAGAGAGTTGGCTAAAGACGGCACGCTCAATAGTTTTGGAAAGAAAAGAAAGAAGGGATACTGGTCTGTAGTTGTTGACATCAGTGGGATCGAGTGTTGGTCTTTTGAGAAGGGGTGCAACTCTCGCTCTCTTGAAGACGGAAGGGACATAGCCAGCGGTCAAGGATGAGTTGATCAGCGAGGTGAGGTAGGGGAGAAGGTCACCGGAGATGTTCTGGAGAAGAGAGGAGGGGATGGGGTCAAGCGGGCAGGTTGTTGGGCGGCCTGCAGTCACAAGTCGCAAGATTTTATCTGGAGAGAGAGGGGAGAAAGAAGTCAAAGCATAGGGTAGGGCAGTGTGAGCAGGATCAGCAGTGTCATTAGACTTAACAAACGAGGATCGGATGTCGGCAACCTTCTTTTCAAAGTGGTTGACGAAGTCATCCACAGAGAGGGAGGAGGGGGGGGGGGGGTGGGGGGAGGATTCAGCAGTGAGGAGAATGTGGCAAAGAGCTTCCTAGGGTTAGAGGCAGATGCTTGAAATTAGAGTGGTAGAAAGTGGCCTTAGCAGCAGAAACAGATGAAGAAAATGTAGAGAGGAGGGAGTGAAAAGATGCCAGGTCGGCAGGGAGTTTAGTTTTCTTCCATTTCCGTGAGCTCGCAATGAGTCATCAAGCCACGGAGCTGGAGGGGAGGACCGAGCCGGCCGGGAGGATAGGGGACACAGGGAGTCAAAGGATGCAGAAAGGGAGGAGAGGAGGGTTGAGGAGGCAGAATCAGGAGATTGGAGGGAGAAGGATTGAGCAGAGGGAAGGGATGATAGGATGGAAGAGGAGAGAGTAGTGGGAGAGAGAGAGCGAAGGTTGCGGCGGCGCATTAGTAAAGATGAGGTCAAGCGTATTGCCTGCCTTGTGAGTAGGGGTGGACGGTGAGAGGGTGAGGTCAAAAGAGGAGAGGAGTGGAAAGAAGGAGGCAGAGAGAAATGAGTCAAATGTAGACGTAGGGAGGTTGAAATCCCCCAAAACTGTGAGGGGTGAGCCATCCTCAGGAAAGGAACTTATCAAGGCGTCAAGCTCATTGATGAACTCTCCAAGGGAACCTGGAGGGCGATAGATGACAAGGATATTAAGCTTAAATGGGCTAGTGACTGTGACAGCATGGAATTCAAATGAGGAGATAGACAGATGGGTTAGGGGAAAAATTGAGAATGACCACTTGGGAGAGATGAGGATTCCTGTGCCACCACCCCTCTGACCAGATGCTCTCGGGGTATGCGAGAACACATGGTCAGACGAGGAGAGAGCAGTAGGAGTAGCAGTGTTTTCAGTGGTAATCCATGTTTCCGTCAGCGCCAGGAAGTCGAGGGACTGGAGGGTAGCATAGGCTGGGATGAAGTCAGCCTTGTTGGCAGCAGAACGGCAGTTCCAGAGGCTGCCTGAGACCTGGAACTCCAGGTGTGTGGTGCGTGCAGGGACCACCAGGTTAGAGAGGCAGCAGCCACGCGGTGTGAGGCGTTTGTGTAGCCTGTGCGGAGAGGAGAGAACAGGGATAGGCAGAGGCATAGTTGACAGGCTGTAGCAGATGGCTACAATAATGCAAAGGAGATCGGAATGAAATGAACTAAACATCTGGGAAAGGAGAGAGCGGGGCCTCCCTCACCAAAAAACTCCCAAATATAACTCTCCCAACTTCCAACTCAGAAATGATAATTCTTTCACTGAACCACCCGAATAAAACTCTCCCAACTTCCACTTTAGAAATTAGAATTGTTGTAAACTACAGCGTTTCAATGTTTCAAGGAATAGACTCAACTTACTTTATTCAGCTAGCTAACTATGACGCACACTCACACACACACACACACATACACATACACACACACACACATACACACACACATACAGGTCACTCAGAGAATGTGTGTGTGTGTGTGTTTCTGTGTGTGTTTGTTTCTGTGTGTGTGTGTGTGTGTGTGTGTGTGTGTGTGTTTCTCTGTGTGTTTAAGACAGCGAGTAACAGGTCCTAACAGAACCAGGTCTCTGTCCTGGAGGGCTTTGGTCAAAAGTAGCGCACTATGTAGGGAATAGTGTGCCATTGGGATGCACCCCATGTCTCATGTTGTGACTAACTCAGCCACTAGAAGATATTTTTCCCATTAAGCTGGTCCAGCAGCACCTCTTCTGACCGCGGCATGGCCAGACTCCATTAACAACCCAGAATACATCTGACTGGAATACCAGAGGGAGAATGGAGGAAGAGAGAGAGGCTGAGATTTAAGAGGATAAACGGAAATACCTCTGCTGGAATACTGCTCTCTGGACAACTGTTTAAAGCCTGGACACAACTCATAGACACTCTCTTTGTCTTTAAAAACAGCCTTCATCCAGTCAGGACCGGCTTGTTCAGCAGACAGACAGAAGAAGGGAGGAAGAGAGCATCAGGGGAGCAGCACCACCCCACAGCACCACCCCACAGCACCACCCCACAGCACCACCCCACAGCACCATCCCACAGCACCACCCCACAGCACCACCCCACAGCACCATCCCACCCCACCACAGCACCACCCCACACCACAGAACCGCCCCACAGCACCACCCCACCCCACACCACAGCATCACCCCACACCACAGCACCACCCCACCCCACCCCACCCCACACCACAGCACCACCCCACCACAGCACCACCCCACCACAGCACCACCACACCACAGCACCACCCCACACCACAGAACCGCCCCACAGCACAGAACCGCCCCACAGCCGATCCAGAGATGAGTGTGTCACTGAGTCAGCTGCAGGAGCATTATAACCAGCAGGGATTCCTCTCTGCTGTACCGGTCCTGGACGACACAGAGCTGAGAGAAGCCAGACAAGCCTTCAACCACCTGGAGAGAGAGTTCGGTGAGTGGAGAGGAGAGGGGAGAGGGAGGAGGGGGAGGGAGGGGTCAGAGGTCAAGACGTCTGTAATATCATCATGATAGTATGCTTTATATGTAATGTATTGAATGGTATGTACCTGTGTCTAGGTGAGTAGAGAGGGGAGACTGAGGGGCAGGGGGTGAGGAGAGGGAGCGTTGAGAGCCAGGGAAGGAAGTGGGATGGAGGGATGGAGTGGTCTGTACCTGTGTCTACCTGTATTGAATGATATCTACCTGAGTCTACCTGTATTGAATGATATCTACCTGAGTCTACCTGTATTGAATGATATCTACCTGTGTCGACCTGTATTGAATGATATCTACCTGTGTCTACCTGTATTGAATGATATCTACCAGTGTCTACCTGTATTGAATGATATCTACCAGTGTCTACCTGTATTGAATGATATCTACCTGAGTCTACCTGTATTGAATGATATCTACCTGAGTCTACCTGTATTGAATGATATCTACCTGAGTCTACCTGTATTGAATGATATCTATCTGTGCCTACCTGTATTGAATGATGTCTACCTATGTCTACCTGTATTGAATGATATCTACCTGTGTCTACCTGTATTGAATGATATCTATCTGTGTCTACCTGTATTGAATGATATCTATCTGTGTCTACCTGTATTGAATGATATCTACCTGAGTCTACCTGTATTGAATGATATCTATCTGTGTCTACCTGTATTGAATGATATCTACCTGTGTCTACCTGTATTGAATGATATCTACCTGTGTCTACCTGTATTGAATGATATCTATCTGTGTCTACCTGTATTGAATGATATCTATCTGTGTCTACCTGTATTGAATGATGTCTACCTGTGTCTACCTGTATTGAATGATATCTACCTGTGTCTACCTGTATTGAATGATATCTACCTGTGTCTACCTGACTTCAGGTGAGGAGTACACCCAGTACAGTCTCCACAACGTGCACCTGAGGTACCCCTGGGTGATGGGCCTGGCCAAACACCCCCACATCCTGCAGGTAGTACAGTCCATCCTGGGCTCTGATGTCATCCTGCTAGACTCACGCTTCATCTGCAAATACCCAACAACCCCCACAGCCACACAGGCAGGAAATGACGTCATCACTCGGACCAGTGAGGAGGAAGTGAGGTCATCAGAGAAGGACCAACAGAGTGAGACTGGGCTGCCCTTCGTGGCCTGGCACCAGGATATGAGGTGGACATTACTAATACTATTACAATACTAATACTACTGTCAGTTACAAAGTACTACAAAATTAGTAAAATACTACTACTACTACTACTACTACTACTACTACTACTACTACTACAGTACTACTACCATACTACTGCTACTACCACAATACTACTTCTTCTACTACAGTACTACAGTACTCCTCCTACTATGACTACTACTACGACACTTCTACAGTCAGTTATGGAGTAAGCGGTTTGAGTAATGATAAGTATTTACTCACCAGCTGTCTGGTTCATCCAGGTATTGGGGAATAGCTGGGGGTCCAGTCCTGTCTGTGTGGCTGGCTCTAGACGACTCCGTGGCAGAAAACGGAGCCCTGAAGGTCATCCCAGGTACTGCAGCTCCCCTGACCGCCTGAAACTCAACAAATAATTCAGTTTCCAGAAACGGACAGTTCAGTTTCCTACATGAGAGTTCTAATTGGTGCCACAGCTAGATAAATAAATACTTAAATGTCTCCTCAAAATATTTAGCTGCACTTAGCCATGTTTGGTTAGTGTTCTGAAAACCTCTTTCTGTCATTCTAGTAATGACTGGAATAAGATGTATTTATATAGACAAACAGAAGACTAGAGTCTGTGTGGTTAGTAAAGTGTTCTCTTTCCTCTCCTCCCCCTCTCCTCCCCCCTCCTCCCCCCTGAAATGCACAACTGTTTTTAAAACGTGCATTGGTGAGGTGCAGACTCAGTTAAGCCATTTGTAATCGTAGGGGAAATTGCTATGCTGGCTGAGTGAAGCCAGAAAAGCAATCTGAAGCACGTTTCGTCCCTCCCCCCCTTCCCCTCCACTCCCATCTCCTCTCCTGTCCTGTGGCCTGTCCTCTCCGCCCTTCCTCCCCCCACTCCATTCCTCTCCTCTCCTCCTCCTTTCCTTTCCTCTCCTCTCCTCTCCTCCCTCTCCTCTCCTCCATCCCGCCTCTCCTCTCCTCTCTCTCCTCATCCTCTAAGCTCTCCGCTCGACCTCCATCTCCGATCGCCTCCGAAATCTCCGCGAAGAACAACTCCTCCCGAGCTCTCCTCTCCTCTACGTCTCCTCTCCTCTCCTCCTCTCTTCTCCTGTCTCATTCCCTCTCCTCCCCATCAGCTCTCCCTCCCCTCTTCCTCCTATCCTCTCCTCCTATCCTCCCCCCCCCCCCCCCCCTTCCTCCTCCAGGCAGCCACTGCTCCGGCCTGCTGCCCCACCACCTCTCCCCCCGCCCTGGCAACATGCTGTCAGTCAACCAGGAGATCCCTGAGGAGCTGGTGCAAACGGACAACGCTATACTCTGCCCCCTGCAGGCCGGGCAGATGTCTGTAAGTCACACCGCCCCCTACTGGGGGTTATTTTTTTAGATAACATTTTTATTTTTATGAATAACAAATGTCAGCAAACATGAATCCAGATACAGAGCCTTCAGAAAGTATTCATACCCCTTGACTTATTCCACATTTTGTTGTTTTACAGCCTGAATTCAAAATGATTAGTTTTCTTCACCCATCTACACACAATATTGTAATTGTGGCAAATTATTTGAGAATGAAATACAGAAATATCTCATTTACATAAGTATTCACACTCCTGAGTCAATACTTTGTAGAAGCACCTTTGGCAGCGATTACAGCTGTGAGTCTTTCTGGGTTTCTCTAAGAGCTTTCCACTCCTGGATTATGCAACATTTACCCCTGATTCTTTTCAAAATTCTTCAAGCTCTGTTAAGTTGGTTGTTGATCATTGCAAGACAGCCATTTTCAAGTGTTGCCATAGATTTTAAAGTATATTTAAGTCAAAACTGTAACTCGGTCACTCAGGCACATTCACTGTCTTCTTGGTAAGCAACTCCAGTGTAGATTTGGCCTTGTGTTTTAGGTTATTGTCCTGCTGAAAGCTGAACTCATCTCCCAGTGTCTGGTGGAAAGCAGACTGAACCAGGTTTTCCTCTAGGATTTTGCCTGTGCATAGCTCCATTCCGTTAAATTTTTATCCTAAAAAATTGCCCAGTCCTTAATGATTACAAGCATAGGATATTCAATGTCTGCTTTTTTTACCCATCATCCAATAGGGGCCCTTCTTTGTATGTGTGGGGTCCAGAGATGAGGTAGTAATTCAAAAATCATATGAAACACTATTATTGTGGCCTCCCGAGTGATGCAGCGGTCTAAGGCACTGCATCGCAGTGTTGCGGTGTCACTACAGCCTGGGGTTCGATCCCAGGGTGTGTCATTACCGGCCATGACCAGGAGTCCTGTAGGGTGGTGCACAATTGGCCCAGCGTCGTCCAGGTTAGGGGAGGGTTTGGCCGTGGGGGGCTTTACTTGGCTCATCGCGCTCTAGCGACTCCTTGTGGCGGGCCGGGCGCCTGCAGGCTGACTTCGGTTGTCAGTTGGACGGTGTTTCCTCCAACACATTGGTGCAGCTGGCTTCCAGGTTAAGAAAGCGGGTGTTAAGAAGCTGTTTTGTAGGACGCTTGACTCGACCTTCGCCTCTCCTGAGCACGTTGGGGAGTTGCAGCGATGAGACAAGATCGTACCCACGAAATTGGGGAGAAAAAGGGGGTAAAATTTGAATAATATATATAAATAAAGATAACACTAGTATTGCACACAGAGTGAGTTCATGCAACTTATTATGTGACTTGTTAAGATTTGTTTTAATCCTGAACTTATTTAGGTTTGCCATAACAAAGGGGTTGAATAATTATTGACTCAATACATTTCAGCTTTTCATTTTTTATTAATTTGTACACATTTCTAAAAGCATAATTCCACTTTGACATTATGGGGTATTGTGTGTAGGCCAGTGACAAAAAAAGCTCAATTTAATCAATTTTAAATTCAGGCTGTAACACAACAAAATGTGGAAAAAGTAAAGGGGTGTGAATACTTTCTGAAGACGTTGTTTATCTTACAGAATGAGGTTGTCAGGGGCAACACCTCCCATCCCAAGTCCTACTGGACATTCTGTATTACATTTTTTACATTTTAGTCATTTATCAGACGCTCTTATCCAGTTAGTGAGTGCATAATTAATATTATTATTTAATTTTTTCATACTATTACAGGGAAATACACTGGGCTTTCTCTATACTTTTACAACTATATTATGTTTCTCACTAATAGTGCTGTACAAGGAATAAGAAATAATTTGGGATTGTGACTTGATGTTGATGTTAACCCAATCAGATCCATGATGGGTTCCTGGTCCACGCCAGTGACCCCAACACATCCCAGAGGAGACGCTGTGGCTTCGTGATCCGATACGTCCCTACCTGTGCCTATCCCATACAGGTGAGAACTACTGTCGATACGTCCCTACCTGTGTCTATATCTCTTTCTCTGAAGGTTATCTGTGGAATTGGAGGCCTGTTCCCTGATTATGCTTTTTGAAAATAGACGAAAACTCTGTTCCAATGCTTTTGCAGAGATAAGACTCATTGCATACCTGACCACTGTGTTTCTCTCTGTCTCTCTCTGCAGGACCCAGACCGTCCCAGGCGTTTCCATGCTACAGTGCTGGCCAGTGGATCAGACCAGTTCAGTCACTTCTCCACCTAGTTGTGATGAGCCTCACACCACAACTACAACCATAACCATACTGATCCCATTACTGCATTACTGTCTGCTACTTAGAGCAACCTAATGATGCTGTGTTCACCTTTATGACTTCCTGCTGTGTTCACCTTTATGACTTCCTGCTGTGTTCACCTTTATGACTTCCTGCTGTGTTCACCTTTATGACTTCCTGCTGTGTTCACCTTTATGACTTCCTGCTGTGTTCACCTTTATGACTTCCTGCTGTGTTCACCTTTATGACTTCCTGCTGTGTTCACCTTTATGACTTCCTGCTGTGTTCACCTTTATGACTTCCTGCTGTGTTCACCTTTATGACTTCCTGCTGTGTTCACCTTTATGACTTCCTGCTGTGTTCACCTTTATGACTTCCTGCTGTGGCGCCACTATTTGTTTACTTTATTTATTTTACCTTTATTTAACTAGTCAAGTCAGTTAAGAGCAAATTCTTATTTACAATGACGGCCTACCAAAAGACAAAAAAGGCCTCCTGCGGGGACGGGGGATAAAAAATAAAATAAATAAAAAATATATATATATATAAATATAGGACCAAACACACATCCTAACAAGAGAGACAACACAACACTACATAAAGAGAGACCTAAGACAACAACATATAGCATGGTAGCAACACATGACAACAGCATGGTAGCAACACAACATGACAACACAGCATGGTAGCAACACATGACAACACAGCATAGTAGCAACACATGACAACACAGCATGGTAGCAACACATGACAACACAGCATGGTAGCAACACATGACAACACAGCATGGTAGCAACACATGACAACACAGCATAGTAGCAACACATGACAACACAGCATGGTAGCAACACATGACAACACAGCATAGTAGCAACACATGACAACACAGCATGGTAGCAACACATGACAACACAGCATGGTAGCAACACATGACAACACAGCATGGTAGCAACACCACATGACAACACAGCATGGTAGCAACACATGACAACACAGCATGGTAGCAACACATGACAACACAGCATGGTAGCAACACAACATGAAAACAACATGGTAGCAACACAACACGACAACACAGCATGGTAGCAACACAACATGGTAGCAGCACAACATGACAACAACATGGTAGCAACACAACACGACAACACAGCATGGTAGCAACACATGACAACAACATGGTAGCAACACAACATGACAACACAGCATGGTAGCAACACAGCATGGTAGCAACACAACATGACAACAACATGGCAGCAGCACAACATGGTAGCAACACAAGACATGCTACAAACATTATTGGGCAGACAACAGCACAAAGGGCAGGAAGGTAGAGACAACAATACATCAGGCGAAGCAGCCACAACTGTCAGTAAGAGTGTCCATGATTGATTTTTAACAAGCAACTATGTTGTTGTCATTCCGCTAGGGACTTGTTTTCTCCAGTCAATAACCGGTGCAGAGTCTGTACGTTTATCCTGTGTTCCCATTTAATTAGCTAGTAAATAAATCATTAAACCAATTTGTGTAGTACTGAATCATAAGTAAGGCTCTGGTTTTTTGCAGATGCAAGGAGGTTACGACTGTTCAGAATGATGATGTGATACGAGGTTATGATTAATAAGTTGACTTTTTATGGATGTGATAGGTAAAGTCCTTTTAGAGTTTAATTCGGGAGATGGTAACTCTTTAAAGAACAGCTCTCATGGTGCCCCAGATACTAATTAGTTAATTGTTACATGATTAATTTAATCAGGTAACAATTAAACATAGTAAGTTAATTAGAGATAACAGTCTTCAGATTCATGTTAAAGTCACGTCACAACAAATTGCTGAGGTGTATTCACTTTTGAGGACACAAGCTGAAGTACATAGTACAAATATTATGAAAATATAGAAAGTCCATTTTTTTTCCTATTCAACAAAAGTGGGGCAAAAGGACTTGAAATGACTGAAATGCTTTCTAAATACAGTGCCTTGAAAAAGTATTCATCCCCCTTGGCGTTTTTCCTATTTTGTTGCATTACAACCTGTAATTTAAATTCATTATTATTTGGATTTCATGTAATGGACATACACAAAATAGTCAAAATTGGTGAAGAGAAATGAAAAAAATTACTTGCTTAAAAAAATTCTAAAAGATAAATAATGGAAAAGTGGTGCATGCAGAATGGATTCACCCCCTTTACTATGAAGCCCCTAAATAAGATCTGGTGCAACCAATTACCTTCAGAAGTCACATAATTAGTTAAATAAAGTCCACCTGTGTGCAATCTAAGTGTCACATGATCTGTCACATGATCTCAGTATATATACACCTGTTCTGAAAGTCCCCAGAGTCTGCAACACCACTAAGCAAGGGGCACCACCAAGCAAGCGGCACCATGAAGACCAAGGAGCTCTCCAAACAGATCAGGGACAAAGTTGTGGAGATGTACAGATCAGGGTTGGGTTATAAAAAAATATCAGCAACTTTGAACATCCCACGGAGCACCATTAAATCCATTATAAAAAAATTGAACGAATATGGCACCACAACAAACTCACGAACCAGGCAAGGAGGGCATTAATCAGAGAGGCAACAAAGAGACCAAAGATAACCCTGAAGGAACTGCAAAGCTCCACAGCGGAGATTGGAGTATCTGTCCATAGGACCACTTTAAGCCATACACTCCACAGAGCTGGGCTTTACGGAAGAGTGGCCATAAAAATCCATTGCTTAAAGAAAAAAATAAGCAAACACGTTTGGTGGTCGCTAAAAGCCATGTGGGAGACTCCCCAAACATATGGAAGAAGGTACTCTGGTCAGATGAGACTAAAATTGAGCTTTTCAGCCATCAAGGAAAATGCTATGTCTGGCGCAAACCCAACACCTCTCATCACCCCGAGAACACCATCCCCACAGTGAAGCATGGTGGTGGCAGCATCATGCTGTGGGGATGTTTTTCATCGGCAGGGACTGGGAAACTGGTCAGAATTGAAGGAATGATGGATGGCACTAAATACAGGGAAATTCTTGAGGGAAACCTGTTTCACTCTTCCAGAGATTTGAGACTGGGACGGAGGTTCACCTTCCAGCAGGACAATGACCCTAAGCATACTGCTAAAGCAACACTCAGGGTTAAAGGGGAAACATTTAAATGTCTTGGAATGGCCTAGTCAAAGTCCAGACCTCAATCCAATTGAGAATCTGTGGTATGACTTAAAGATTGCTGTACACAAGCGGAACCCATCCAACTTGAAGGAGTTGGAGCAGTTTTGCCTTGAAGAATGGGCACAAATCCCAGTGGCTAGATGTGCCAAGTTTATAAAGACATACCCCAAGAGACTTGCAGCTGTAATTGCTGCAAAAGGTGGCTCTACAAAGTATTGACTTTGGGGGGATGTGAATAAATATGCATGCTCAAGTTGTCTGTTTTTTTGTCTTATTTCTTGTTTGTTTCACAATAAAAATTATTTTGTATCTTCAAAGTGGTAGACATGTTGTGTAAATCAAATGATACAAACCCCCAAAAAATCAATTTTAATTACAGGTTGTAAGGCAACAAAATAGAAAAAATGCCAAGGGGGGTGAATACTTTCGCAAGCCACTGTATCACAAGGACTTATACAGTGGCCTGAAACTCATAGTTAGGGTTGCAAAATTCCACACATTTTCCCCAAAAATATTCCAGTAATCTTCCAACCAGGATTTCTGGATAACCTGGGAAATGTACCAACATTTTGCAACCCTAACTGTAAATCACATTATGCTGTCTTGCAAAGTGATGTGTAATTCCTATTGGAATCTAGCCTGCGTTAGTATAATGTTTCAGGAGAAGATCCAGATGCAGACAGTGTCGAAGTAAGAAAAGTTTATTACAAAAACAGGGGGCAGGCAAACGACAGGTCAAGGGCAGGCAGAGGTCAGTAATCCAGATCAGAGTCCAAAAGGTACAGAACGGCAGGAAGTCTCAGGGTCAGGGCAGGCAGAATGGTCAAAACCGGGAAAACTAGAAAACAGGAACTTGAGAAAGACAGGAGCAAGGGGAAGATGCTGGTAGGCTTGACGAAACAAAACGAACTGGCAACACAGGTATAAATACACTGGGGATAATGGGGAAGATGGGCAACACCTGGAGGGGGTGGAGACAAGCACAAAGACAGGTGAAACAGATCAGGGTGTGACAGTTAGGCTGTCCAACAGTTGGAATGTGTATTCACCCGCAACCTGCATTCATAATGACTGCCAGGATGAAGAACAGTGGGTGGAAACTACCTAAGCCATTTTATACTGGAACCACCATTTCAGTAACGGGTGCAAAAATTCAATGATTGGATCAGTTTAGGAAAAAAATATTTATCCTTGTGTAGCATAACATTTAATCAATCAATCCCTCAATGTACATGCAAAAAACAAATATGAAAAACAATTTTTTTAAATCTACATGCAGCAGAGCATGCTGGGAAAAAAGTTGATTTTGTATCCTAGTATCCAGTCATAGTAAGTACATTTTTCCTCAGTAAAGTAGCTATCAGCAAAGTCAGTACTAGTAGGGGGGAAAAGTCAGTACTAGTAGGGGGGAAAAGTCAGTACTAGTAGGGGGGAAAAGTCAGTACTATTAGGGGAGAAAAGTCAGTACTGGTAGGGGGAAAAGTCAGTACTAGTAGGGGGGAAAAGTCAGTACTAGTAGGGGGGAAAAGTCAGTACTAGTAGGGGAGAAAAGTCAGTACTGGTAGGGGGAAAAGTCAGTACTAGTAGGGGGGAAAAGTCAGTACTAGTAGGGGGGAAAAGTCAGTACTATTAGGGGAGAAAAGTCAGTACTGGTAGGGGGAAAAGTCAGTACTAGTAGGGGGGAAAAGTCAGTACTATTAGGGGAGAAAAGTCAGTACTAGTAGGGGGGAAAAGTCAGTACTGGTAGGGGGGAAAAGTCAGTACTAGTAGGGGGGAAAAGTCAGTACTAGTAGGGGGGAAAAGTCAGTACTGGTAGGGGGGAAAAGTCAGTACTAGTAGGGGGGAAAAGTCAGTACTAGTAGGGGAGAAAAGTCAGTACTAGTAAGGGGAAAAGTCAGTACTAGTAGGAGGGAAAAGTCAGTACTAGTAGGGGGGAAAAGTCAGAACTAGTAGGGGGGGAAAGTCAGTACTAGTAGGGGGGAAAAGTCAGTACTAGTAGGGGAGAAAAGTCAGTACTAGTAGGGGGA